TAATCCCACCCCTACCCCTAACCCTACCCCTCACAGAAAACTTTCTGCATTTTTACAATTTCAAAAGTAAAAAAAAAAAAGTTTACTTTATTTTTATAACAGTTTTACAAATGACGACTTAGTCGCCCAGAGTAAGATTTAGTCGCATATGCGAGTGATTTACTCGCAATGTAGAGGGTTGTGATGATATTGTGACTAAGAACTGGCAATTTAGAGAAAAATAATTTATTTTTTATTTTTTTTCTGAAATTGATGATACCACAACAAACGGCAAAAGTCATTCAAATAATGGTCAGAAGTTTCCATAAATGGTTGTCAAAACAGAAGAAACTCTGTACATTTTTTAATTTGTGGGTGTTATTTAATCTTGGGGTACAATTTCCAGCCATCTAAAACTAATAGAATTATTAAATATTTGATAGACATAACTTTGTGGAAAACAAGTAATACATGCTGTGCTAAAGGTTATCTTGTTTATGTGGTACTGTATGCATCAAACTAAATATCGTTTAAGGATCTAACACCATGAACCTCACAAAATGAACCAAATCCAATTAGCTGGGCTTATTTATTATTAACACACAGTTTTTAACTTTCAAAAACAACCTAAAGTGTAACAGAAACCGATCAGTAACTTATGCGTCTTACTTTGACGGCCATGATTTGTCCACTGGGTTTGTGCACCATCTTGTTGACGGAGCCGTACGCTCCTCGGCCGATCTCGCCGAGATCCTTCAGGTCTTCGGCTGTGAAGTCCCAGTGCTGCTCCGGAGAGATCTTCAGCTTCCCAGACGACTCGATACTGTGTGTCCGCAGCCGCTCTCTGAAAACACACACACATGCACGTGAAGACGATAATGGCTGAGGCTGGAAAGACAAAATTGAAGTCTTGACATTATCCACAGACGACAGTTCTGAGTTGACGGCCAAAACTCACAGGTTGATGATTAGGGCTGCAACAAATTATTATTATTTTTTTTTTAAATCCATTAATCTGACATTTATTTAATCCAATGATTGATACATTTGGATTGCAAAAAAACAACAACAACAACAACATGTAATTCCATTTCACTGGAGAAAGCAATGTTATGAATACCAGAAACAAGAGTTTTAAGTTAAAAACTGTTTACTGAGAGTAATCCACACCACTCCAGTCCATCAATTAATGTCTTGTGAAGCCAAAAGCTGTGTGTTTGCAAGAAACAAATCCATCAAGGCGTTTTTTAACTTCAAACTGTTGCTTCCAGCTAATATTTGAGTCTATAATCCATAATATTGCTTTCTCCGGTGGAAAAAGGTGTCTCATCTGAATCAGGAGAGAAATCTGCACAGAATTGATAAGCAAAAACAGTCCAAAACGGCTCTAAACAAATATGTGGGTGGATTTTGATGTGAGAGACAACAGGAGATGGACTTTATCCCCTGAGAGTTTTATGGATTATAGACTGGTATTTTAGCTGGAAGCAACAGTCTGAAGTTAAAAACGTCTTGATGGATTTGTTTCTTACAAACACACAGCTTTTCACTTCACAAGACATTAACTGATGGACTGGAGTGCTGTGGATTACTTGTGGATTATTGTGATGTTTTTATCAGCTGTTTGGACTCTCATTCTGACGGCACCCATTCACTGCAGAGGATCTATTGATGAGCAAGTCACATAACACTACATTTCTCCAAATCTGATCCAATAAATAATCTCATTTAACATTTTGGATGGACTGATGGCGAGTAAAATGTTCATTTTTGGGTGAAATGGCCATCAGATAGACTGTACTCACATGTGTGGGTTCTGGAAAGGAAGTCCGGCAGTGTTCAGAGTGATTCTGGAAGTAGGTTTGATCGGAGGATTGGCAAAATTTAACTTCAGGGCTTTACGTTTACCTGACAAAGGAGGAAGAGACCTTCAGGTTAAACAACACAGTCAGGAAACAGCATTGTCACACACAAACACACAAACCAACACTCATATAGCATGAAGATAAAGTTGTAGGTGTATTTTATTCAGGTTGCTGTAGGATGAGATCTCTAACTAAGCCATGGAAGATGTGGGAGGGTCGTGTGAAGAGACCAAAGTTCACTAGAGACATGCACATCTGAGCACCAGGAGAGGAACCCAAGAGCCAGATTTCCTAAAGCCATCAGAACATGCTGAAGGTGTAAAACATCTTCATTAGAAAAAAATATAGAGGGTGACGATGGCTTTAGCAAATCTGGCAGCAGAGGACAGTGACTGCAGTCCGACATGCTCAAACCCTGTGTTTAACATCACCAAATCAGCTATTCTTTCCCCATCTACATCCACTCAAGACAATAGAGCATCTGATCACATCCGGACACAAAACAGACGATCTGAAACGAAAACTAAAATCAAACTTACCTTCATCACACACAAAACCTAACACAACCCAAACACAAAATTATACATGAATCTGTAATGTGCAAACTGTACGGTTCATCTAGACTGCGAGAGGTGTGCTTTTATAAGCATTAAAAATAGCCACCACAGAAATGAAGCCAATGCAACATGACAGAAACAGTGACGGATTTGTTTTACAAAAACACAAAAACAATTATTATTTATTTTTTTATTATTAGACTTTTATTAGTTAAAAACTGAAAATAAAGTTTCCGTAATTAAATTTGGGTAATTGAACTCTATCTGCTGTTCAGGGCATCTTGATATTTCACCTTAATACATTTTACATAATTTTACTCTAGAATCATTTTTATTTACAGTAAAAATGCATAAAAACACATTATCAAATAAATTAAATGTCACTGTTTTGGTCACCGTTTCTTTCCACCAAAAAGAATGGAAGAATTTGGAAGAATCATTTAATCAGAAACATTAAAATAAAAATAAAAAACACGAAAGAAAACGAAAACACAGAAACCACAAATAATATTACTAATATGTGACCATGGACCACAAAACCAGTCATAAGGGTAAATTTTTGGAAATTGAGATTTATACATCATTTGAAAGTTGAATAAATAAGCTTTCCATTGCTGTATGGTTTGTTAGGATAGGACAATATTTGGCCGAGATACAACTACCGTGTTGTCCCGAATATAAGACGATATTTTTTTCTTGGAAATACATCTGAAACTGACATTATGAAGTGAGTTTGGAGTAAAAATGTGTTATTAAATGTGGTATTTTCACATGCTTTCAGATGGAGCAGCATTTACTTCACAGCCGTAGTGCACTGAGAAGCTATGCAAACAGCTGTCATTATCGCGAGCGATTTCTTCGATTTCAGAATCGCGCGATTTTTTTGCGTAACTTGTCAGTGAACTATGGCTATGTGTAGTAAATTCTGCTCCATCTGAAAGCACGTGATGATGATTTCCTGCTGATTACAGAACCGGCATTACTATCAAAATGCGCATGACAATCGCATTCGATTAATCGTGCAGCCCTATTTTTGGCATAAAAATTTTTGATAATTTTGACCCATACAATGAATTTTTGGCTATTGCTAAAAATATACCCCATCGACTTAAGACTGGTTTTGTGCTCCATGGTCACATATTGTTTTTTTGTTTGTTTGTTTTTTATGGTTTTTTAAAATCCATAAAATAAAGAAAAATAATGTTAAACCAAATCTAACACTGATTATAACTAGTTTTGTAAGGAATAATATTGATCAGACTGCTGAATTAATGAAAATTAATATAAATGTGGGTAATCTTTTTCATTAAATAACACTTTTTTTTTCTTATTTCAGTATTTTCTCCCTGTATTTTGGTCTGTAACCCTATTCAGCTTTCTATAGTTATTAAAAATAAGTTCTGTGAAGGGAAAATGTAATTTGTTTGCCATTTTTTCTGTTTCTTTTCTTTCGTTATAATAATAATAATTCACAAGGCAGTTGTGTGACTATTTCTGATCTTCTCATAATAAACAGATGCACATTTCACCTCAATCCACAATTTCAAGGAATTATGAGACTTTACAGAGATATCAGTGTTTTCTAAAACTATAATTCAATGATTGTGTCTCCATATAATTGCAAACTTGTGAATAAGTGAAAATTAAGTTATATGACAAAAGAGAAATTAAAACAATGTTAACATAAAACAAACAACACTTAAGCACCAAAAAGCCCTTCAGATTCATGAAAGTAACTGGGAAATGAGTGCAAGCACATCTCTGAGAAATTAAGGACTATTTTCCCTCCACCACAAGAATGTGAGGATCCGAATACCAGAGGAACAGCATTTCTGAAATCTCACGGCATGTGCGTCCATGTCCCAACAAGCTGGTGTTTGTTCGAGATGCTCATGCCAAAACCATCCCAGAAGTGCTTCAACACTAAACAAAATGCAAACCGAAGAAACAGGGAAGACAGCTACAACACCCAAGGCAATGTTCACTGCACCGGTTAGTAGAAAGCCACCTAAACACCTCAGTAAACATCCACCAGAGCTTCCATTACTGTATGCGAACCATTGATCAATGTAGAAAGGACATGCGTGATCATTAAAGAGATCTTGATCAAGTGCAGGCTGATTTTGATTAAATGGACTAAATCAAAAGAAAGTCAGGACCAATCGACTGTCCAAGAGTGAATCTTTTTGCTTAAAAGTCAATGGAAGCTCGAAGTCTAAGACTTGTGCCGATTTCTCACTAAAATCCTCTTTATGTTGTTGTTTGACACAGATATATGAACATTTAAGTTACCGAATGGAAATACTGACTACCAATATGTGTTTTTTAAAGGGGTCATATGTGACGTTGCTAAAAAGAACAGTACTTTGTGTAGTTGGTGTAATGCAATGTGTTTATGCGGTTTAAGGTAAAAAAAAAAAAAACACATTATTTTCCACATTTTGTACATTATTGTTTCTCCTCTATGCCCCGCTTTTCTCAAATGCGTAAATTTTTACAAAGCTCATCGGTCTGAAAAGCGAGATGTGCTCTGATTGGCCAGCTATTCAGTGCATTGTGATTGGCCGAATTCCTCAAGCGTGTGACGGAAATGTTACGCCCCTTACCATACTGTGATGCCCTGTCCGGCCGGAGCGACGAGACAAAAACATTAAAACCCATTAAAAACGAGGCATTTGTAGCATCCAGTGGGGACATAATTGCTGATTATAATGACTGATATGTTGTGGGGGCGTGTTTAAACTAGGCGTTTTAGGAGGGCGTGGACCAGTCTTAACTTTTATAAAGAATATCTCTTTGGGTTTGAGACTTTAGGGATCTTATCTATTCACAAACTGCTTGTAACACTCCAAAGAGAAAGGAAAACTTGAAATCGCATCATATGACCCCTTTAATGGCTTAAATTACAATATCTAGAGAGAAGGGTGGCTGAAATAATGCTGATATAGACATAATACAACCTGAAGACAAATGAAGACTGGACAAAAACGCTGAATTCAAACAAATATTTGTTCTGCACAATATTTACTTTTTTTAAAAGTACAATTCAAATGATTGGGGTCAGTAAGGCATACAGATGGACACAATATTCATTATTCTTCTTCAATATTATTCTTGGTTATTATTATAAAATAATTGTTGTTAATTGCTTTTATAATTGATATTGATTAATATCATATCAATTAATATATTAATTAGAAATATTATTATAACATTCATATTAAATATTATTACATTAAGTGTAGCTGATACACTGTTGTTGACTATGAACAAACTAAAACATGTCTGTTAAATAAATAATTACATATAACTTACATTTCAATAATTATTTAAATAGTTGTCACCATTTATCAAATATAATTTTTATTTAGTATAGTAGGGTAATGAGATTTTCTTGCTTTACTATAAGATGGCTTTAGTTTGTATAGTCAATACAATTTCTTAGTATTTTTAACTATAACACATTAAAATACTAGTGTAGTACAAATCAATTTTTAATTAAAAAAATAAATAAAAAGCAGTCCAACAAACACTATCATGATGCATAAAAACACAAACAAACAAATAAATACATAAAACAATTTCATTATGTATTTATTTATTATTTATTTGCTATTCTCAAAACATAATGGCAGTATTTGTTGTCATCATTTATCAATTGTATATAATATACATTTATATAATACCATTATAAATCAGTTATTTAAGGTAAAGATTGCATTACTGCTTCATTCTCTTTAGGCAAAACGTTATGTCCTTTTTTTTTATAAATTTTAAGAGCAATACATTATTCTTCATATTTGTTTTATTTTATTTTATTTTTTAATTTTGTGGTTACACATGGCTGCAAAATTTGAATCTTCTTGGCACATTATAATGGCGCTTTTCCACTGCATGGTACGGCTCGGTACGGTTCACTTTTGGGGGGGTTTTCCACTGGGTACAGTACCTGGTACTTTTTTTAGTACCACCTCGGTTGGGGTTCCAAGCGAACCGTACCGTTACCAAAATGTGACGT